ACTGTCGCATTGGGGTCTTGCGACGAGGAGGAGTCGGTAGGCGTGGTAGGTTGTGTATGCTATGCTGGCCAGTGTGTATATACCCAGGGAGAAGGCGTGGGTGTCGTTCATTTCAACTGTGTCAGGAAGAAACAGAGAGAAGAGAAAACGGCCAAACATCAAGGGTAGGATTGTCACGCTTACACCGGAGAAGCCCATGAACAGCCATATTGTGACGACGAAGGCGAGGATACGGAGGCGGAACCATGGTGGTATGAAGACGACCGTGACGAGATCAGTGTTGTGGATACCTTCTTCATTCTGCCCATCTTTGCGCACATTGTCCTTGTCGACTTCGACAAAGACGGCCTGGCCTTTGGGAATACGTGCTTGGTCGGAAGCAGGGGCGCGGACGTATCTCCCGTCGTCGCCCTCTTGGTCCTCGGCTTTGTCACCAAAGAGGAAATTGGAGAGGCGCAGGAAGCTGGCACAAGTCTTGAACCACCAGCGATAGACTGTGTGGAAGCCTTCACTCGGCTTGTAAAACTTGACAATGACGGGAGTGAGGAAGTTGTAGAAAAGCAGGTCGAGTGGGAACTCTAATGAAGGCGCTTCTGTTTGCCAGCGAATGGGCAGAACGTCGGTCGTTGCTCGGCTGAGTGTCCAGATGACTCCGCCCAAACATACTATGACTAGAGCGCCATAGACAAGAGCGCTGAAAGCAATCTTACGGAGTTGGGTTGTGACGCTACGTTCCAAAACGTCTCGTACAGGGTGAAATGTCGGATCATCTGGGTCGCGGATGAAGTACAGTACGCCTTTGCGCATGATCTTGCGGCACATGGAGACGAAGAGCGCAAAATGGAACATGTAGCACGTGCCGATGAACCAGTGTACAAATCCAGAGGTCCAGGGACTGTTTCGCGTGAATTGCCAGCGAGTCAAGAGCGTAGCATTTTGGAACAGTGGAAGCATTGCCAGATCAAGGAGCAGACCACAGTACAATGGAAACGCCAACATCTCGATGCTAATGATCAAAATGACTTTGAGCACGCCACCGGCCTGTTGTAACACATCGCAAATAATGCGTTCAGTTCTCGACGTGCCAAAGGCAGTGCCACGCCTAAGATAGACGGCGCCAGCAAAGGCAAAAAAGCCATAGCCTGCAAGAATGGCAATCATGCGATCTGCCGCGGTCCAGTATTCTGTAGCAGCATAGGCAACAGTGGCAGTATGATTGAAGTCGAAATCCAGGGTAATGTTGTACGACTTGGCCGTCCAAAGCCACGACAGTAGATCGGCACCTTGTGTGTAGAGTGTTGTTGTAGCAGTGTGGGCAAGCCCTGGCAATGCACCAACAACTCTGTAGACGAGCCAAAATGGCGAATCTGCCGCAATCTCCTCAAATACGGACGTAGCAAAGTTACTCGTTTCGTTGAGAGCAAATGATGTGGAGTTTTGTATACTTCGCAATGCGGCGTGTGAGTTGACCGAAAGCATAAAGTGACTGGTCTGAGGCGACAGCGGAGAGTCAACAAGCATACTGGCTGTGCGGATCAAAGCGTTCTTGACTAGGAAATAGGCTGGCGTAGCAATGGAACGGAGCCGCCCGTCCACCATGTCTGACAGACTTCCCCAAGAACACACTTTGATGGCCATTGCAAGAAAATGCGAGATTGAGTAAGTGGTTCCTGCCACGACGATGAGTGCCATATCGACGATGAGATCTGTCGTAGCAGCAATGATTCGCACAGGCAGCTTGACAAAGAGCGCAATCGGGCTTCCCATGAAGAGGATCACGACCTTGCCCCATAGATACGGGAGCCATACCGCACACGCCAGGGTGGCTGATATGAGCACTGCGCTGAAGAGGGCATTTTGAAAGAGGCCGACAAGGGGGCCCTGCATACCAATAAGTTCCAGGATCCCTTCCAAGTCCTCGGCATCTTCAATGGCTTCTTGGTCATTGACATCGATGCCAGCTTGAGCGGCTGCCGCAGCAACTTCGGCGTCTTGTACGGCAGGAACACCATGCTCTCGCGGCTCGTTCCCAAGGAAGGGCACAAAGGGAGCTTCGTCCGCTATGTTACGGACAATGTGCTCGTCATTTCCAGCTTCCTCTGCAACTGGCGCAGCTGGTGCCACATCACCAAACATCCAATCCAGAGCGCGATCGAGCGCGGTGGCTGGAGGTTGATGGGGTAGCTCTGCTGGTGCTGCTGGCGCTGGAGGTACAGGCGCATCTGCTACCTCATCCTGAGTTTCTTCGTTGATGGCTGGTCGTGCCGGGGGGGCATCGACTTCAGTCACTTGCTGAGATGGAACTGGACGCTCTGCAGTCTCCGACTGTGACAACTGAGTTTGAAGCGCTGAGCTTTTGGCGTGGATTTCGGTTGATTCAGGCCTGACGGCCATTGAGTCCTCGGAATCATCAGCGCCATTACTGCTATCGCTGACTCTGGCTTTGCCTTTATCAAGTGAACTAGCTCCTTCCAGCGCTTGGTCAGAGTCAAGGTCCACCTTGATCTTGGAAACTTGTTGCCAGCTCCCACTACTGTGATCACTGTCTGGGGCTTCGTCTGATAACATGTCGGGACCGTGGTCCAACCGAGATCCTTCAACTTCAGCATCTTCCCATGACTCTGGCACCATTGCCTCTTCTGTTGCATCAGACGATGATTGGACGGGCACACGATCAAAGGACCAGGGATTTTCTTCTTCCAATTTGCGGCGGATTTCCGTTGCGACAAAGGAGCGATCTCGCGAAGGCATTTCGGGGCGTTGTGTAGACTGAGATGATTCTGTGATTGCAGGTTCGAGAGACGAATTGGGCTCCTGGGGTAGACTACTTGTGCGCACAGGAAACCTAGGCGTACTCGTGTCCGTGACTGGCCGATCCTCTGAAGTGGATCCGGGCTTGAGTTCACTGAGCTCCTCTCGTGTATCATGCAGTTCGAGAGCTTCCTGAAGAAGTTTCTGCAACTCACGGTTTTCTGCCAACATCAAGTCGGTCAGCATCTCGGCAATTTGCTCGGATGATGCCGCCTGTAATGTCCTCCGTATATTTTCATCAGTCTCATCGGATATTAACTTCTGAATCCTCTCTCTTCGCCGTCTTCTTAGTGATGATGCGCGTCGAACACGACGGATGACAGGCTCCGGTCCGTCTTGAATGCCCTCGTCCACTTCGGCTTCGGCTTCGTCTGCAGCAGGCAGTGGATCATCCTGGGCCTCGTGAGCATCGGCAACATTATCCTCCACCAAGTCATCAGGAAGATGCTCATTCCCATTGTCGACACCACCTTGTACGGCAGCAGCATCATTACCGAGACCGACCATGTTCATTACAGGCTGTTGTTGGACAACCCATTCACGAATCAAGAAGATCAGGATGAAGGCAATGACGACAAATATTGTAATGATCTGACCTTCGAGCACGTCTACAAACAATTGATTGGCGGTATGCGAGTTGAACAATTTGAGAAAGGGCACATCGGATAGCAGGGACGGACTCCGGAGAGACGGAGACTCGAGCGTGAGATTGGCGGCGGTTGTGTTGGGCTCGACCGCTGGATACTGTCCGAGTTGGGCGATCTGAGCGAGGTTGGTGAAGGGGTATGGAACGCCGAATAAAAAGCGCTTCGCAAAGGACCAGATCATGGAACCGTCGGCCATGGTCTCATTTGCCGGCGAGTTGGCAGAGTATTTGTGGTGATCCGTCCTGTTTCCGGCGGCAAGGGCGGCGTTAGCTGCCTTGACTAACGACTGGACTGCTTCGGGATGATCCAAGCTGGCCTGCTGGGTGCTGTCTGTAGCCCCGAAGATGTCTAAAGACCTGTCCTGCGTCCAGCCACCATCCCCGACCCAAAAGAGACTGCGCCAGACGACACGCATGCACCATGGGAGCAGGACTAACCAGACGGCAAAGACCAAGACGCCTCGACACCAGGTCACAAACAGGTTCAAAACGTGCAGGGCGGCGCGACGGATAAAGACGGTGGTGGGTATCTGGTTCGGCATGCCGGGGTGGTAGAGCTTGGTGAAGCGAAATGAGGTCTTGCAGAGCTCGCAGTGCTTCTTCTGGGTATGTGAAAGCCACTCCATCAGACACTCTTGGTGGACGTATTTGATGCTGCCGCTGCATTTGCATGGATAGAAGAGCGGCTCTTCTGGCGTGCCCTCGCCTCGACATATTCGACAGGTGTCTGCTTCTTCCTTGTCGTGGTCCTGCCAGCCGGACAGGTGAGAGGCGGCATCTGAAGGCTGCGTGGCCATGTCGTGTGCCTCATCGGAGAGCCCCGCGTTCGGCCAAATGGCGTCGGTTGCCATGGTTTAGGGATGCTAGTCTGGTGATGTGGGCTCGTAGGGGTTGGAGTTCGAAGGTGAGGTGGCGATAGTGATTGTGCTATCTGGCTGGGCGGGAGCCAACGGGTGAAGGCTCAAGTAGTCATTGGGAGCAGAAGTAGTATTCGCAGGTGTGCTTGTCAGGATCAGAAAGACGCGTCAGACAGAGTAGAGAGAGAGAGAGAGAGAGAGAGAGAGAGAGAGAGAGGCGCAGTGAATATACTATGGACAAAGAAAGTGATGAGGTGTTGGTGTCGGTGTTGGTATGAGGGTCAAGAGGTAGGACAAAGGTATTGGATGTAGGTAGATCGGCAAGGGGAGGGGAAGCGACGGCGGACAATGGGCAGTCGGAACCAAGTTCGGTGGTAAGTTACCGGTACCTAGTGTACTCCCCGGCCTACTGCTACTCCTAGGTAGGCCAGCGCAATAAGGCTTGGCAAGGCTCGTTGGAGGCGAAGGTTCCATGGCACCGTACAGAATCTACAGTAGGCACCGGTACACAGGACATGGACACATGGGCAGAGTAGACAGTTAGCACCGAAGTCAATGGAACGGGGTTAGTGGTAGGGCATGTGTCGCAGGGCGGCATGATACGAGGCATAGGAAGGCAGGTCTGTCTAGTACATACCGTAGGCACTGTCCTATAGCAGCCAGCCACTGTTTGCTCTTGTGGATTGGAAGTCTGGCAAGTCAAGTTGGAGTACCTAGTAGAAACTGTGTAGAGATGGTTGGTAGGGTAGGTACAGTACAAGCGCGGCCAATTTCAGTACTTGTACCGGTAGCTCACCTTGGTAGGTGGTGGGTAGGTGCTAGGTACCTAGAGTACAGGTACTCCTCCTACCCTAAGTTACTGTACCGGTAACTTACCTTGGCACCTCCGCGGCTTACCATACCTAGGTACCGACTACCTCTGTGCAGAGTACTCCTAAAGGACCTACTCTAGAGTAGATAGCTACTCAGGTACCCACTGTGTATGCGCCTGCATGGTGACATGGCCGCAGTATCTACTCTACTCTACTCTACATAGTATCAAAGTATCACTGTACCGGTATGACAACAGGATTATGATAGTGATAGTCTCTTGCCGCCTCTCTCTACACGAAATCTCGACACACACTCTGGCCAGACCGCTCTCATGCTGAAACGCAGACAGGAGACAGGAGACTCTCACCTTGGCATAACCACACCAACGACCAGTACGCGACTGACGGCCTGCAGGCACCTGAAGCAGTTCGCGTGCGTGGGTCTCTGGATCGTCGTCGCATCCAGTCGTCAGTGCTCTCTTGCAGCCGTGAGAGACTGCAAGACCGCTGCACTGCTTCCCGTATCCACTCGATCCTGCTCGCGTAGCCAGCCATAATGAGCTGTGCAACCTGCTGGCCTTATCCTACCAACCCACTGAAATCTTGATTCTTGATTCTTGATTCTTCATCTGCTGCTTGCTTGCTTGCTTGCTACCTGCCTCGTCTCTTCCCGTCTTCGCACGTGCGACTGACATCATCTCCCCATGCAACATTTGAACTCGGTTGAGCCACCCCAACGCTAAACAATCAACCTTGATCACCCCCCGTCCTCTCGCTCAAAACAAAACAAAAAAAAATTCTCCCGTCAGAGCGGAGCGGTTGACCTCTCGTGCTAAAATATAAAAGCAAACACCCGATCCGTTGCTGTCCTTTGGTATGTGTTGTGCGAGAGCCTGCACTGTGCAGCCAGTCGCCGCCACTAACGCCTGTCAGAAGCCAGAGTCCCAATAGACAAGGAATACACCGGCGAGCAAGTCGGTTGACCCTCAACAAGCCATCGCAGGCCCAGACGCCGCACAGCATGGCGACCCAGACGAACGGTCGGGCGAAGAAGCCTAAGAAATCCTCACCCAGCAGCACCGCCAATGGCAGCATCAACGCCTATGTCAACGGAGACGGCCACATGAACGGCCAGCCAGACAAGGCGCAGCTCTCGCGCCCAGCTGCACGCACAAGAGCCACAAAAAGATCAAATCGAACATGGACGGGAGCCTTTACTAGCGTGGTCGCAAGGTACTTTCGCCCACGAGATCACTCCCTCGTCTGTAGCTCACGCCTGCTAACCTACGCCTGTCTAGACTGACGACCTGGTATCTGATCATAACCTTCCTCTTCCGCTGCCCCGCATCCCTCACCCAGCTCAACGATGATTCTCCACGCCTATGTAGGCCCTATATCCAGGCCCGCTCGTACGCTGCCCCCTATCTTGACCCATACTATTATGCCTACGTGGCCCCTCAAGTCGACAAGGTCAAGCCGTACACCGACCGCTTTGAACAGCACATCTACACCCCCGTCTCGACCTTCACAAAGGACAAGTATGCAGTCTACGGTGCGCATAGGGTAGAGCTTGCGAAGAAGTATGCAGAGGCTCAATATGACAAGTCCATTCGGCCCCAGGTACAAGCTGGTCAAGACAAGGCCCAGGCCTTATATCATATGTACCTTGGACACCATGTCCAAAAGGCTGCAGACGCTGCCGCCCCCTACTATGACCAGACAAAGGCCAGCCTAGGCGAGATCTACCAACTCACCATTCTCCCTGCATACAAGACTTCTCTTCCGTACATGCGCAAGGCTCACTCCGTCGGCCATCACTTTCTTGTCGACACCGTCTTTCCCCATGTCAACGTAGCCAAGGACGCCATCTGGTCTTTCATCACTCGCACTGTCTGGCCTCGGTTGCGTGTACTCTACGGAGACAACGTCGAGCCTCAGCTGGTCCGCATCTCCGAGCGCCTGGGGCGGTACCGCGATCAGCAAAAGATTGAATCTGTTGTTCAGGCCGTTGATGCATCCTCGTAAGTGTCGGATCGTGCGCGCCTCGGCATTTGACTAAGTTATTTCAGGTCTATCGCAGCCGAATCAGTCAAGACAAATCCAACCATCGTAAGCTCCTCCGCTTCCACTGTTTCCTCCAGCTCGAGCTCCAAGGCTGGCTGGGGCGTCCTCGACGACTTTTTCGGCAGTGAATCGTCCACTACTGCATCCAACGGTGCAGCCGCCTCAAAGACAGCGAGCGCTGTCCAAGTCGCTAAGCCAAAGCTCAGTGAAGAAGAATTGAGGAAGAAACTGAATGAAGACTTGCGTCAGTGGCAGACCAAGTTCGCTACAGCTGCCGACAAAGGTGCCGAAGATTTAGAGCAGCGCGTTGCAGACATCACAACACGTCAAGTGGAGAATTCCGTCAAAGGACATGGCCGAGCATTGGTTGTCAAGTTGGAGGAAACTGCCGACACTACCATTGCGAGACTCAAGAGCTACATCAAGAAGACTGTCAAGTCACTTTCCGACGATGCGTCCGAACAGGATCTAGAAGCCGCCTATGAAGATTGTAGCGCAAAAACTCGCGAGTTCGGCCTGACTGTCAAGGAGCGCGCCCAGGATGTTCGTGCCTGGAAAGCCGCGTACGATTTGGAGACTGATAGCCTTGTTCAGGCGGCTGTCCGGAGCACCGTCGAGGTGCTTGACAAAATCCACGGTCTTGGCCTTCAGGAAGTTGGTATGCGATGGGCATGGACTGACGGTGTCACTTACAAGGACTGGCAAAACTACCACAAGCTCAGAAATACCCTTACAGAGTGGCAATCCGAGGTGGAGGCTGTAGGCGCTCGACACGAAGGACTTCGAATTGCACACGAAGAAGCCAAGAAGCTCGAAGACGAAGCCATGGCCATTGCCGCAAATATGGTCTCTGAACTGGTCCGTTTGAAGGATGTCTCGAGGTGGAAGATCTGGGCTGGTGACTCTAGCGACGACTTTACCAACCAAAAGGTCCCCGTTCGCGTCCACAAAGCTGCTCAACAAGTCCTCGAGAATGTAGAGGGTGCTTCGTCCCAGATTTCTGAGGCTGTCCTCGGAAGCTCAACACCACTTAGCGAGAGCATCGCCTCCTCTGTCGAGGATTCCTACTCGTCAGCTTCATCCCAGGCTTCTGAACTTGCGCAGGGTAGCTCGACTCCTCTTTCAGAAGGCGGCGCCTCCTCTGTCAGCAGCGTCGTCTCCGACGCGTCTTCTCAAGCCTCTGTCGTCATTCAAGGCACCCCTTCATCGGAGAGTGTGCTTTCCCAGGCATCATCTAAAGCATCCGAGGTTGCCTCTGAGGGTGCTTCTAAGGCCTCTGCCGCGTACGAATCGCCCAAGAAGGTCTTTGGCGGAGTCAACGCTCAAGCTATTCCGGAGGTCAAACAGGTTGTCTTTGACGAACCTCTCGATGATGGGGAGGATACCAATTACTCTGACAAGGTCCAAGCTGTCCTAGCTGACGCTGGAGAACGGGCGGCAGAGTTGAGTCGTGCAGTCAGCGAGGCCTTGTTGGGCGCCACGAAGACTCAAGGAAGCGTCGAGTCTGTATCATCGCTTGCTAACGAACAGTATGCTAGCGCTCTCGCTGCAGCCTCCAGTGTGCTCTATGGAACCAAGCAACCGGCTGTTGAGAGCGCTACCAGCGTAGCCTCTGACAAATTTGCCCAAGCTGTCACCGCTGCATCGTACGCCATTTACGGCACCCCGACACCCACGGCCGTTTTCCAGACTGTTCAGATTCAAGCAAGCTCCCGCTACAACGACGCTGTGCGCGTCGCTAGTGAGCAACTGGAAAACGCAAAATCGCAGCTGTCCATTCTCGTATCTGACACACCGAAGCCGGTGCACGAGACAATGCTTTCATACTTGGAGCAAGCTTACTCTGATTCTGTCGCGGCCGCCAATGAACGCCTATCGGCTGCTTTGCAGTACACCGACTCCGTCAAGAACTATGCTGCTGGACCTACTCAGGGATACTTTGAATCAGTCTCGTCCATCGCATCCTCGAGACTCGCTGAAGGTCTGAGTCAAGCATCCGCCCAATTCTCATCGCAGCCCACTGGCGTCGTTGATGGCGCTCAGCAACAATATTACCAAGCTATTGGCCTTGCACATGCTCGTTATTCGGAGTTCGTAGAAGCTGCTTCTAGCGCTGTTTACGGGCCTCAACAGGGAACCATGGAGTCTCTAGCTTCTGTAGCTTCAGTATCTGCTGCCTCTGCTGCCTCTTATGTTTCTGACTCCGCCGAGTCTATCGCTGCAGATGCTCAGGCTGCTGCTGCATCGCTCGCATCAAAAGCCAGTTCTAGCGTCATTGGCACAGAAACTCCCTGGACTGAGTCAATTGCATCTCAAGCTAGCCAAAACTGGGAAGCTCTCATTGCTCAGGCCAGCAGTCAGGTGTACGGAAAGCCTACCCCATGGGCACAGTCTGTCTACTCTCAGGCTGAGTCATATGGTTCGCAAGCAACCGCTGCCGCTGCACAACAGTATGCAGAGGTTCAGGCGTTGATCTCTGAGTTAGTTATCGGCAAGGAACCTGACTTCACCGAAAGCGTCATGAACCGCTTTGCGTCCGCCTACTCAACAGGTCTGCCTGCCGCTATTGCATCTGCCCGGTCATATGCTAGTGAGGGCTTTGAAGCTGCGTCAGATTATGCCAGCGACACTTTTGAGGCAGCCACTGGTGTCGCTGCCGATGCCTACGCATCTGCTTCTTCAGTTGTCGGTATCATCTTTACTCCTCCTGCTATCATCGAAGATGTCCTCAGCTCTGCGAGCGCGTCACTCGATCTTGCTGTCGAGAGTGCATCCATCGCTCTGTATGGAACACCAAAGGGTGCCGCTGAACAGGCCAGCGAGTCTGTCGCAAGCGCATATTCCTCCATCCAGTCTCAGATTAGCGAAAAGGTCTATGGCACCCAGCAAGCTCAGGATAGCTTCTCTTCTGCAGCTGCCAGCGCCCAAGCTGCCATCAGCGCAGCAATCTTTGGTACTCCTACTGCCGCCGACTACGTTGCATCTGCTACCAGCGGTGCAGGCGGTGTTTACAGTTCCATATCGTCTGTTGCAAGTGAACATGCAGAGTACGCTGCATCGGTTGCAAGCGGAAACGCGGCCTCTCTTGCCTCGGCGGCAAGCTCTGCCGTCTATGGTCCGGAGCAGGGAGCCATGGAGAGCGCTAACAGTAGAATCCAGGCCGCAGTTGCAGTTGCCAATTCCAAGATTGCAGAAATGTACAGTGCTGCATCTTTGAATGCGGAGGATGTCGCCAGTAGTGTTGCGAGTGCGGCGACGGCGGCGACGGCCAGGGTCAAGGATGAGTTGTAGAACGTCTTCCTAAGGATCAGAGGCACATTCACATGGTAGCGACACTACTTCAACACAATGCGACTTGCGACTTGCGATGTGCGGCACTGGCCACGCAAACAAGAAGAATCGGTTGCCGTCTATGCTCGCATCCTTATCCGCAACACGATTCATCACGACAATCATACTACACTCTCACAGTCCCCACAGTCCCCAACAACTGTCTCGTACGCTGCACAGCGCCATGCCCAAACGAATTACTCATGTACAAACATCGAGGCCTCTCATCCAGTTGATCTGGACTGTTCAGCAGAGGCAAAACTCGAAGACTGAAAGTGGAAAAGAGAGTGACGACTAAGGAATGACGATGATGCAAGGCTTCCACAATACTTTGTTAAAAATATCTCAGTGTTTTCTTCTTATTAGCGTGTAGTCTAGTTTCTAGGTATTCAAAGGATCTGTGTGTTTTTCTGTGCTGTACTGTTTATAATGCTAAGGAGCGGGACAGGTACGGAAAGAAATATACCCTTTTATCGCGTTTGGTGGATGTACAGTGTGCTTGTTCTAGTTTCAAAGCACATTCGCCTGTGTCAGGGTTTTTTTTTGTGGTGTACTGTAGTAAGTTCAGAGCTGTGTGGATGTATAGATAGTTACCTTGTGTAGTATTTTCTTTGCATTATAATGGTAATTATTTATGTGCGCGACTATAGGAAAGCTGGCGGTTTGGGCTAGAATCTTACTACTTAGTCTCCTACTGAAAACTACTATGACTGATTATTCTCGTAGCCATCTCATCAGCCCGCTTGCCGCAAATTACAGTGGCAACTTTCTTCGTGGACGGGATGCAATCTGCAATAGTGATGCTGGTTGAGGCCGTGCGTTACCGCGCCAACACTTTGTTTGGGTGACGTCGCATCGCTTACCGCCTGGTCCCCAGCCTCCCCAACCTCGAAGTTGACCAGCCACACTACTATCTACCACTGCTCCGCCAGGAACAAAAGTGAAGTAGACCACATTCCAGAAAACCCTCCCCCTCACGCACACACACACACACAATACATTGTTATTGCAACGACACTCTGAACAGCATCTGACGTTATAGCGACAGCTTGCATTCGCTTCTGTGCGACTACGCCTACCGGTATTCTTCTCTGCACGGGCTCCTCCGCCTATATCGAGCCTGCCAACACCAATTGTTCGCGTCGACTACCGATACCACTACTTTACACATCGGCTTACGTCCACTTGACTTTTCTACACCTATCTTCGGCTTCAGTATCAGAACCCTCGCCCGCTTAAGAGCTTCCAACAATTACACACACCCTCGCCGGCAATGGCGCCTCACCCAGAACTCACCAGTGGTGAGCAGGCTCTATCGCCCATGGCTGTACATGACCTGCAGGTTTCCAAGTCATTCGTCAAGCGTGCCGATGGTGCCTATGTACAGCTTGCGGCCGCCGGTGCCCGCCCGCCCCACGATCTCTCTGGCCCCGGCTTCCAAGTCCTCTTCGCTCTCATCGGTGTCGGTCTGTGTTTTGGTGCTATTTGGTTCTTCTTCTGGGCCAAGAATGGTGGGTTCAAGTGGAGGAAAGACGACTGGGAAGACTACAAATCGACTGTGCTTCGTCGCAAGGGACCGGATGGCAAGACCTTGTCCAACGCTACCAAGAGCACGAGACTTGGTGGTGGCAGTGTTGTTCACGGAGGCAGCTACGGTGCCCCTAGTACCCTTGGATTCACAGATGAGACTGGCACACAGGCAGATGGCAATGAGTACCGCGATGCTGAAGAAGGCAATGGTGGTCTCCGCGGAGGTGATGGGCGTCGCGAGAAGAAGCACCGCCGTGACCACACCAATGACTACAAGGACCCTGAGCTACGCAACTACCGCCACGAAAAGGCTGCCCGTGTCGGTGGCCTGAATGGTCTCGCTGACGGCATCTACACCGACTACTCTGGCTCTCAGCCCGCTTCTGAGCTTGGCTCCCACGTCTCCAGCAACGCTCCCCTCGTCAAGAAGAGCAAGGAAGTCCGAGACCCCAAGAAAGAAGCCAAGGCCAAGGAACAGCGCGCAAAGGAGCGTTTCCGCAAAGCCAAACTCGCGGAGAAGGAAGCTGCAAAGAAGGCCGCTGCCGATGCCAAAGCCCGCAAGGAAGCCGAAAAGGCTGAAATCAAGCGCACCAAGGCCGAACAGAAGAAGATGAAGAAGGCTAGATCGGAAGCTGCTCCCTCGGAGGGCTCCCCTGAGATGGCAGAAGTTACCCAACCCTTGACTGAATACACTCACGCATACACCGAGTACACTGCTCCATCGGAAGCTGGATACACGGAATACACTGGCTACACCGAGGAATCACGAGCCATTGCCCCCATCCCCAAGCCTGCCTCGGACATCCGTCGTTCCACTACCAAGGGCCCTGCTGGACCTCGTCGCGCTCCTCCATCCGCAGCATACTCGTTCACTACTGGCGATGACACAAACACGGTATACTCGGACAATGCCCGCACAGAAGCCCGTACTGCGCCCTCTGAAATGAACGAGTCTTCATACTACTCCGACTACCGCCCCAACGCCGATCCCAGCGTCTACACCTCCAGGACGAGCAAGGACAAGACGCGCTCGCGCTCCGCCCGCCCCTCTCAAGACCGTGAACGCCGCCAATCTGCGCGCGCATCGCGCGAATCTGCATCGCAGCCCCGCCCATCCCGCGAACTCGTCACTGCATCAGCACGCCCTCGCCCATCCTCTTCTCGCCCGACCTCGCAGTCTCCACGTAAGCAGCAGCGTCCTGAAGCACCGCCAAGTGACATCTTCACGGCGGCGAACGGAGAGGCAAAGGGTAACATGAGTTATCCGTGCTACATTCCGGGACTGAGTCAGGCGGGCAGTGTCGGCGTTGGAGAGAGCGTCAGTCAAGTTGGTGCGCCGTCGAGTGCGAGGAGGGGAGGCAGGGACGTCATGGACGGGTATAGACGTGGGGGTGTGAGGACGGTGGGTCGAAGGGATAGTCTCAGTGACAGTGACTAGAGGCATGAATGAATGCATGGACAGACGACGAAGACGAGTGATGGGCAATTAGCGGGCTTTGGATAAGGTTGGTGGGATGCATGGACACGGCGTTTTTCCTCTTTCGTTTCTCTATTTTTGAAATGAGAGTCTTCTTTCTCCTTTCCTATCATGGATGAGGAGGGCACCGGGACGCACACGATTAGCAGTGACGAAACGGTTTCCTGCGCTTTTTGCGGATTGTAATCAGATTGATTGGCTTGAGTGGTGTGTTGTGTAAGGGGAATGCGGCTTGTATAAATGGGGGACGAAGATGGGATGTTTACGGTCTGCACTTGATGTGTAAAGCTAAGCTGGGCTGTGCTTGACGCATGTATGCATGCATGTATGTAGAATCAAGGTGAAATGTGAAGCAAGCGTGTGATGTAATCATATCGTTTGTGCAAGCAAGGTGGAGTGGGAGCCAAGTGCTGTGAAAGGTTTAGGAAGTTGGTGTCCAGAAATGCATACCGGTACAGGAATTCCTGAGCACCTAGAGCGGTAGAGTAAGTGACTGCGCACAACTCACCCACCCACCTACCGGTACCTAGTTTTTCTTCGATCCTGTTTCTTCGCCGGTAGGATCAAAGCTTCGCAACATTTAAAACAGCAAAGGATGGTGAATGTGCAACATGGGCCCTTGCAGACGTGATTTATGAATGCTGAATAGACTTTAGCTACGCTCCCTAGTGACTCCAAGACATGACCAATACCCTGCTAAGCTTAATCTATATCCCAAGGGGGCCATTCGCACACGCAAGACGTATAAAGTTAGGCTATCTAATTCGCGCAGGAAAAGACCAAGGGGAAAGAAAGTCCCGCGTTGCTTTGCTCGCTACTATTTGGTAGTAGGCGATTTTTTTCAAAAATGCATTATAAAGATTTATACCATGGAAAATAGGTATGGACGGCATAGCCTGTGATAAGTGGAGAAAAGCAATTTTTTTTTGAGATACATATTAGAGACATTCAAAATAGAAAAAAAAAAGCAAAAAGAGAGAGTCGAACTCCCGATGGGAACCAATACAGATAATGATTCAGCCGAGATTTGAACTCGGGACATTCAGTGAACAACATTCATATGCATGTTAGACTGACGTGATAACCAACTACACCACCGAACCTGTTTGTTGATGGAAGTTGATGTTCTTGTATAATATATAAAGGCACTTTGAGTTTAATCAGAGAAATTCTTGGAGTCTTTGCTGTGCATGTGCGCATGCAAAGTGTGAAGCGGGGTAGTGGGGTTAGCGAAGAGCTAACGCCAGTTGACTCAACATTCCCGCTCGCAGCTAGAGCTGGATGGGATGGGACAGAAGCAAGGAATACACACATCACATCACCCATCACCTCTCACTTCTCACTTGCAACCAAAATCCCTTGAAGACAAATTCTTTTTCTGAACAGTCCAACTACCAGGCGCACGATCTGATTTGGAAGAAAAGACCAGAACCATCGCGATGAGCTCGTCAAGCGACCTATCCAGTCTCCCTACGCCGCCGGCTTGCATTGCCGACTTTTGCTTGATACCCCTCGGTACACCGACGGCGTCAGTGTCCAAGGAGGTGGCAGAGGTGCAGCGGGTGTTGAAGAGAAGCGGGCTAGTGTACAAGATGCACTCTGCTGGAACGACGGTCGGTATGTGGTCCCTCGCTCATCAGCCTTATCCATGTACATAGCCAGCTACGGGGAAATCATGATCCTCTCTCTCTCCGCGCCCGTGCGAAAGTTGGTCTGGCTGTCCGTCATGTGCATGGATAGGTACATACTAGTACATGGTTACCCACCGTAGCCTGGGGTCAGCAAGTGGGGTAGGGCTGAGCTAACAGGATGCAGAGGGCTCGTGGGAGGAGGTGATGAGGGTCATCGGGCAATGTCACGCTTTGCTGCATCAGAACGGGGTGGTGAGGATCCAGAGCGACATCAGAGTCGGGTCGCGGACGGATAAGAAGCAGAGTGCCGAGGACAAGGTTGCGGCCGTCGAAAAGTTGCTCGGCGAGAGCGAGGAGGATGCGAATTGATGCCGGCCGGGAAGTGCATGACCATCGTCTTGGTTCCGGCTGGCTGTGTACATAATACTCCCAAGTTCCTCTCTAGTCGGTGGGTACGGAGTAGGTACAGTAGAAATGGGCCATGGCAGATTGAGGTGTCACGGTTGCTATGCCCCTGTCCGCGTGTCACACAAACTCCCCTGGCCAACAGCATCCTGCTCTCGAGATAAGAGCATTGAAGGAGGGCAAGGTCAGGTCGTCGCCCCCATGACCATCTGTTTGCCCAACCCAGCATGTGCAAATGAGAAAGGTCGAACTCGCGTGCTCGACCATTTGATGCTATTCCACATCCCTATCCATAGCCAATTTCCCCTTCGTCTTGTCGTCTCGACGATTGGCCAGGCCCCCAGACGTTTGTGCAGCATCCCGTATGGCCCAGGGGGCTTTGTTACAATAGCGGTGTGCCGACGCTTCCGAGGCTGGAGGAAAGGCTGGGCATCCTAGAGGAGGGGATTGTCTTCGGCTATGTGTTGTGTGTTGTGCGCCGTGGCATGTACCTACCATGCAAGGGTACGCGTACTACCAACCCGACCGTACCAAGGTTTTGAAGTTTTTTTTTTCTTTGGTCCGTTGGCGAGGCACGGCACACACACATTGCTGTTGCGCCACAAGAAGTGGCTTGCTTGTTGATGAGCCTTTGGTCATGACGCAACCCAGCTTCGCACTGTGTGGGTAGCAATGTATGATGTAAGGACTGCTGCGCAGCCACAAAGTCCGCCTCTCTTTGTACTTCCTGGCTCAAGACCTACTCTACTTAGCCATCTGTCTCTTCTCCCGTCAAACACAGTTGTACGGTACCGTCATCGTCTGGCGTGCCCTGCAGCGCTGTGAGCCGTTGTACCTGAATGTTTGGTCTCCTTAGCGAGCGAGGTGCAGTAGTCTCGACATCACCACGGACCTTGATCTTCCACTTCTCCGAAAAATCCCTACCCTGCCACTGCCCTTCCCACTCCACATTCTTCTGGACCGTCCTTTCACCGCTACATTGACTTCACTCCCTCCCTCCCTCCCTCCCTCTACCCACACTGCCGCCTGTTACCGCCCGCCAATCTCAACCCCACTCGCCCCTTTGACGTCGCGACTCTCAAACAGCCCCTCCCTTCTCCGGGACCCTGCTCGTGTGTAGAGTATTCATGGCGAGCACGACATCATCACATGCACGCGACACGGCTCTCCGACCTCTCCAGCTCTCCGGCTCCCTTCGTTAGAAGCTGCAACGCCTGCACTTCCCACGCTGCGCCCCAGACCCGACCATGGCCTTCAACTTCAACTGGTCGCCGCTCATCGCCGACACGTCGCGGGCGCGCGACATGCTGACCACAGCGCTCAACAAGTCGCCCAAGCCGCCCATCATCGTCGACGACATCATCGTGACCGAACTGAATCTGGGCAGCACCCCACCGGAGCTGGAAATACTCGAGATTGGCGATTTGGCAGAAGACCGCTTTAGGGGGATTTTCAAAATGTCATATGCAGGCGATGCCTTCTTGACGCTCAAGACAAAGGTCCAGGCAAACCCGCTCAAGACCTACCTCTCCACCAAGCCCGATTTTGCATCACCACAGCCACTCGCGGCAGCCTCGGGCTTGACCATTCCGCTGCAGATTACCTTGTCGAACATCCGCCTGTCAGGCTTCGTCATCCTCGTCTTCTCGAAACAAAAGGGCCTGACGCTGGTCTTTCGAAATGATCCCGTCGAGTCGCTCAAGGTGTCGTCGACCTTTGACTCGATCCCGTTTGTGCGCGACTACTTGCAAAAGGAGATTGAAGGACAGTTGCGGGTCCTGTTCATGGAGGACTTGCCAGCCATCATCCATCGACTATCGCTGCGGTTACTATCGCCTGAATTCCAGGAGCTGGAGACGGAGGAGAGGCTGGAAGGAAACAACGATACCGCCCCTGCCATCGACCCCCTCGCCTCGCCTCCGCAAGACGCCGTCGATGCATTTGGCAACCTCCTCGACGAGTCGCAGATTTCGGATCTGTCCCTCGATGCTAGTGGGGAAGTCCATGCTTCCTTCTCGCAAAAGAATATTCTCCGTCTTGCCGCCCTCTCCGAATCGCAGCGCACGCTCTCCCTCTTCACGCCAGGCATTCGCGATGCCGTCTTCCGCGCTTGGGCTGGCCATCCAGACAGGCCAGAGTCGGGTGCTGCTACCCCAGCGCTTACACAGGGTAGTCTGTCGAGGATACAATCTACGTTTGGCAGCTACAAGTCGGGCGCATCATCTGTCGCCTCTGACAGCACTGGCAACGAGACCCACAGCTCGCGGCCTACCATGATGTCATCGTCGTCCTACCTGTCTGCAGGCCTGAGCCTGGGAGCGGGCCGGTCACGCACTGGAGGCATGCGGAAGCGCAAGAAGCGCGTTGTCGATCTGCGAAAGAAGACTGACGATGCAGATTCATCTGGCGTGTCCAGTGGGGCTCACACGCCGCTACCAAGCACCTATGTCTCCGAGACATCAAGCGCCATACCCGAAGAACGAGAGTTGGAAGAGGAGCTGGCCACGCCGCCGAAGACTCCAGACCGGCCTGGCATGACCTTTGAAAGCAAGCACGGCAGTCTCGACTATGGCGAGCCGAGTAGACTGCCAGAAAGTGCAGCAGCCAACACACCCGACTCCCACCTCGCCCCCGCGCCTCTCCTCTCCGATCCAGCCCACTTTTCCAAGCCAAAACAAAAAGCGTATACCGACGATCCAGCAAAGTCTCGCTCCTCCTCCAAGCGCCCCCCACTATCACGCAACCAACTCCGCCAAGTACAACAATCCACATCCCCACTTCTCCGCTCCCTCTCCTTCGATAGGGTCTCCTCTCTCTCCTCACCCTCCTCTGCCGATACCACACCCAGCTCTGGCGGCATCCTCGAACAAGCCTGGATGCACAAGATGGCACAAGAAATCGCACGCAAAGTGCAAGAGGAAAAAGATCGTGGCTCACCACGACCACGACCGCGTCATGAACGTCGCAAGACTGCGCCTGGCAACAGCGCGGGCATGTGGACGAACAACGAGGAAATTGAGGCACCGCCTGCATATGTTGCGTAATACTTTGCTCACTCATTTCATTTCCCCTTGTTAACGACAACGACATTATGAGTCATGTTGATGGATGCTGACGGTCTTATTGTTCTGTTTTTTGGCATCATGATTGCGCTGCCCCGCCTTTTTTTCCTCTGTCGTTGAGCTTGATTTGATATTTTGTTTTGATTCCAAAAAGTCTGCATATCTGTTGCTTCGGTCTGCTGCCGGCGATTAGCGGTTCATGCAAGCAACATACCTGAGCGAGGTGTTCTGGGGCGGTTGTGGGTCTAAAGCATATTTTCAGTACGGACTGGAGGAGTTGCAAGGCCATCTGGTAGGGGAGTTGGGCCAGATGGGGAACCTGGGAAGCATTTTGGCTGGTTTGGGTGGGCATCATGTGCGTTTTGGCTCCGGCCGGTGAAGCATGGGGGAGTATGGCGGACCCCGATATTCTCAAGTGAACGTCAGGGTGCTCTTTTGTCTCTCTTTTTTCTAATTTCAGATATATCCATTCTACAGATTGAATACTGTTGATGTGCGCACTCGTTTCGTGCTATGGTGGCGTCGAGGACGGTTGGACTAATACTGACAATGCATGGCTTTCGCGCCTCGAGAAAGCAGTATTTGCATGCATTGCCTAGGGCAACAAATCTGCGATATGTTCAAGTTGCTATTCTACATGGCGACCACATCCGCACCGAACTCAATCAACAACACGCTCCACTATATACTAACTTTCTTCCCCAGGAATACCAGCATGCAGCACTCTTCACATGTGCATACACGCTTCATCAACAGTATCTACCGCCCGCACGCAAACAACACCTCCACCCACCACCACATTCACACACTGATAACCCCATAGTCCCAAATCAAACCCCCATACCCAAAAACCGCACTTCACTTCACTCCCCTCACAGTCACCCCCGTGCAGAAGACGCGCATACCAACACCTCCCCCCCTCCCCCTTCAAACCCCGACCCCAAACCCGCCCCCGCACCCCCCGCTCCGACCCCAAACCCACCCCCGCACCCCCGGCTCCGACCCCAATCCCGCCCCCGCCCCCCATGCTCCGACCCCGCCCCAACCCAACCCTCCAACCGCGCCCAACCGCCCAACCCAACCTCTCCGTTCAAACTCCGACCCCATCCATTCAAACACCGACCGACGCTCCTCCGCAACGGGACCAAACCGCACAACCGCGCAAGCTACACAACGCGCGATAAAGTCGTATAGCAGCACGCGCGGCCTAGTTGGCGTGCTGTCTTGCTGGTTTTGGGGAGTTGTGGTGTGGGATTGGGGAGTCTGTTGCGGGATTCGGGAACGTGTCGTGTATGGAGGATGGGGTGGGTGCGGTTGGGGGAGAGAGGGGGGATGGGGGGAGGGGAAAGAGGACGCAGGTTGCGTGTTTGAATTGCCGGAGGAGGAAGAGTCGGTGTTTGTTGTAAGTTTTTCTTGGTTTTTGTTTCTTTGGGGTTGGGGTTCGGGTTGGGGTTTAAAGTTTCTTTGGTTGATAGGGGGGTGGGGACTCCATGTGCATCTTGGGGGTTGTTAGTGGATGGAGTTTTTTTTTTTTCCTCAAAGCAAACGGGGTTTTGGGGGCATGGCGAGGTGGGGTTTGAGTTGTTTGTCAAATGGGTTGATGGATTGGGGTTTCTTTTGCTCCAGACAGGATGGTTTGCTAACGATGCATGGTTTCGCATGGGTTAAAGGGACGCTGATAACTCGGTTCCGTGCTTCAGATGCAAACGCGATAATCTGGATTGTGTGCTTGGAGGAAGTAATCGGGGCGGACGACGGGTGAGGAAGAAGAAGAAGATTGGGGATGTGCCTGTGATAGGGGAAGGGGAAGAGCAGGAGCAGGAACAAGATCGAGAACAACACCTACAGCAACAACAACAACAACCTCTCCCCTCATTGACGGTGACGGCGCCAGAAGGGAGTTTGCACACGCTCGGCAATCTCGGCACGTGGCAGGAACCCGGTGCAAACCAAGCGCAATACGGCGAAGAGCTGCAAAACTCACGATCCAACTCGTCGAATGCAGAGGAGTTGCCTTTTTCTAATCTACAGAATCCCTCGGATGCCTTGGGTATTCTGGCAAGGGTTGCCGGCGAATCGAGCTCGAATGAAGAGAATGGCGGCGCGGCGACTTTGGCTGCGTCGATCAGCACAAGGCCCACAGGATCCCTTTCGACGTCTATGCAGGCTCCGCTCTCATTTTCCTATCCGCTGTTGGATCGTGGGGTTTTGACGGTGCATTCGCTGTGCCAGCTTCTCCTTCGATTTCAACAACACTATCATCCGTATTATCCACTGGCGCCTGCGCATGCTTTTGAGACATCAAGGCTGTCGGATATGGTTACCAAGGAGCCGCATTTGCTCACGGCAATTCTGCTCATCGCCTCGAAAGATTTGGTGGATGAGCCGCTGATTTATGAAGCGTGTTCCGAGCACATGAAGAGTCTTGTTGCCACTTTGGCGGCAGGAGGCGATGCAGGCATCGAGGCTGTGGAGGCTTTGTTGCTACTTGCAGAGTGGGCGCCCTATACCCAACGAGGCTCTGGAAAGGTGGGCAAGGGGGAAGAAGACAAGGAGAGTTGGATGCATGCCGGGCTCGCTCTTCGGATTGCATACTATCTCGCCCTCGACAGATACTCGTTCCGCTTCGTCGACCAGGGAAAAGATCCCGATCACCACCGCAAACGCCTCATCTGGACTTATACATACGTCTCCGACCGCCACATCAGCATTCGCATTGGCAAAGGCTTTTGGTCTCGTGGACCAGGGCCACTGACCACCCTCCGGCGCGAAGACTATCCAACCCTCATCCCCAAGAATCCAAACGAAGAAGACTACGCCTCGATATTCCAGGCAAATCTCGAATTGACTCAACTCTTCAGCAACGTCCACGACACACTCTACTCCAACCCAGGCTCCAGTTTCCGTACGCACATGAGCGGCAGCTATATAAAATTCATCGATGACTTTCGCTCTGCCATCTACGGCTGGAAGTCTGTCTGGGGTACCCTGACATGCTCTCCACCGCTCAAAGCCTGTCTCCTAATATCCTATGACTACCTCCGCCTCTACACCAATGCCTTTGCCTTTCAAGCCACCGTTCTCCGCGCCCTTCCTTCCTCCACCCAGCCCACCGACCCCATGTCCTCACAGGCAGCAAGCGGAATGCACATCCCGCAACGCGTCTTCGCCAACAACGTCGGAGCCGTTGGCGACGCACGCTTCATATACGAAGGTCTGGATGCCGCAAAAGCCATCTTGACCACGGTAAACAACTTTGTCGATCCAGAGCGCAGTCTGCGCTTCATGCCACTGCGATACTACCTCTACCTCGTGTACGCCGGCGTCTTCCTCTACCGCGCCCGTTGCACCGGCGTCATTTCCGCAGACGAAGACCGCGCCATCCGCGCCATGATCAATGAAACAATCACACGCCTACAGCGCGCCGCCGTCGGCTCCGGCGCCGGCATCCAACACCCAGGAAGCCGCTACAGCCAGCTGCTCAAGCTGCTGTGGGCCAAAGTCCCCCGCAAAGACAAACGCGAACGCAGTGCCTTCAGACACCCAGGCACAACCATTGCCTCCAACATCCTAGACTCCAACGGCTTTCCCACCACCGCCTCCCACCGTCCTCCCCATAGTCACCCTCCCGCGCATACGAACCAGCAGCAGTCGCCCCAGGCTAGCTCTACAGGCACCACGGGCGAGTCCCCCGCGCTCACGGAGCAAATGGGGGATTTTGGCTGGACCGATCTTTCGGCCGTGGGCGAGTTTGCGGTGCATGGGGCTGCGGCGACGGGGGCGGGGAACGAAGACCAGAGTGCGCTGTGGAATGGGTTTTTGCCGCTGGATATGGGATGGGGGGCGCCGGGGCAGGGGTTTGGGTTTGAAGGGCTGGGGAACTTCGAGGGGGGTGAGTTGGGGATGTTGTTTTAAGAGGGAGGAGGAGGGTTGGGAGGTTGATTGGGTTTTTGGTGGTGTGGGGGAGGGGGTTTAAGAAACAAAAACTCCGCATGGCCCACAACCCAACACAAGAACTGTCTCCCATCCTTCTAAGTTGTCATGGGGAGTATGGTATGGATGGGTCAAGGTGTTTTATGTTTTGTGTGCTTTTTTGTTGATGGAGGGATCATGGTCCATTTGTAAGTTAAAAGTTGATTGACTGGGGGGGGTATTGTAGATCATATCATTCCCATGTCTACACAGCCATTAATACAAGTCTCAAGCCCAGGACTGATATACTACGCCATGTATATATGTATCAGTCGCCTAGAATCCAAGTACTGTACTATCGAGTATGGAGAATTCTTACGCTCGTGCCATGCACATCCCGGAAGCATCTCTATGCCGGCCAGCGCTAGTGTCCGTGCAATACCCGAAGCTACTACCGGTACGACATCACCACCAGACACCCCGCATGCTCACCTCTCCACATTTCACTCCCTCATGCTTCTTCCATCCTTCACCTCATCACATCGCCATGTGGACGTCTCCTCATATAAGCCATTGAGCATGTGCAGCAACGCGCGAATCGACCGTACACTTACAGTATCTAATCGCACAATGTCGCCATAGCTTCGAGCGCCTCCGGGGTAGTCAATGCGAATGCGGAAGGTGGTCAAGCTACTCTCACGACTAGCTGATCAATCGGCAGGCCAGGATCGCAGCTACATCAACCATGAAAGTCGTTTGAAACGACACGGTGCCTTGGCGGCTCGCTCAATGGGGCAGCTCAACTCGTCACACTGTGTCGGTCACCAAGCTCATGTGTGGAGGCTTGGCCGGGACGCAAGCTCTGTGGTGTGTCGCGGAATTGATTCGTGCAGAGAGGGCTTGCATGGCATGAGCTTGTTTACGTGCAACCTCCTTGGCTAGAGTGTTACCCCGGGCTACGTTAAGGCGAGTTGGGAAGGTGTACTTTGGGACATCACTAGCTGCCTACTATGGATACGGGGTACAGGCCATATATTTTCACCCTCCTTTTAGCCGTAGGTTCGTATGTTCGTCAGCACAAGATGCTCTCTCTTTCCGCCATGGATCTTGGATATCTGGAGCGATAAGCATGCAGTCTGCTGATGTTGATAGCATGAAAGCGCCTTTACCTTCTTCCTCGGGACCATGATCATGGGGGTTATAGTGCATGGATTGCAGGTTTACGAGGCAGCTTCACACAAGCGTGGGCCATCATCTATGCACTTAGCGGCTAGGGGTGAAAATATATGGCCTGTCACATAGTACATACGGCGGAGCCCTGTACCCCAGGTATATAAGTATTGATAGGTCCATCTTTCCCTTGCCGTCACCTCACTCCGTCTTGACCGTCCTACCCACATACACAGCCGTCATGAAGTTCCTCGGCGTCGCTTTTGCGTCGCTCGGACTGGCTTCTGCCGCCACTGTCGCGAGCAAGGCCAACTACGACGACTGGAAAGTTTATCGCGTCAATGTTGGAACCAATGCGGCCAAGTTCAACGACGTGGTCAGCAAGCTCAAGCTCGAGGTCTGGAAAGGCAAGCCCGCAGCCAGCGAAGTCGTCGACGTTGTCGTGCCGCCCACGCAAATCTCGGAATTTGAGGCTTCGACTGCCGAGCTCAAGACGCAAGTGATGCATGAGAATCTGGGACTTTCCATTGCAGATGAGAATAACGACGCGTTTGCCATTGCTGCTGGTAATCTTTCCCTCAATTCACGTATTGCGTGTAGTCGAGCGCTAATGTATCGTTTAGCTGGCGCGGCGCCATCTGCTACTTGGTTTAATTCGTACCATGCTATTGCGGACCATATGCAGTGGGTTACAGATCTTGCAGCTGCCTATCCGGAAAACTCAGAGGTGATATCGGCTGGCAAATCCGTCGAGGGTCGTGACATCAGGGGCATCCATATCTGGGGCAATGGAGGCAAAGGATCCAAGAAGGCAGTCGTCTGGCATGGAACAGTCCATGCACGAGAATGGATTACAACCATGGTATGTATATATATCTTCTCTCCTCTCCTTCCTTCATTACCACCTACTCCCTTTCCCCCCATTAGCCAAACCAACCTAGCTAACAAACAACCACCCCCAGGTCGTCGAATATGCCGCCTACCAACTCCTGACCTCTACCGACTCTGCCACCGCCTCCTTCAAAAACAACTTTGACTTCTACATATTCCCCATTGTCAACCCCGACGGCTTCGCCTACACACAAACCAACGACCGTCTCTGGCGCAAAAACCGCCAGTCCACCCCCTCAGCCCGCTGCGTCGGCCGCGACATCAACCGCAACTGGCCCAACCACTGGGACCAGCGCGGCGGCGCCAGCACCGCCCCTTGCGACCAAGACTACAAGGGGCCCTCCGCTGGCGACGGTGTCGAAACAAAAGCCCTCAAAGCCCAGCTCGATGGCCTCGCCGCCGGCCGCGGCATCCAACTATACATGGACATTCACGCCTACTCGCAACTCTGGCTCTACCCCTACGGCTACACATGCACCGGCACCGTCCCCAACTCCGCAAAATACGCAACTCTGACTAGCGGGGCGATTGCGGCCATCAAGGCTGTGCATGGCACTACCTTTACCGGTGGGCCGATTTGCAATACCATTTACCAGGTTAGCGGTGATAGTGTGGATTATGCGCTTGAGAATGCGAGGGCGAATTACAGTATGACGGTTGAGTTGAGGGATACGGGGACGTATGGGTTTGTGTTGCCGGCGGCGCAGATTGTGCCGAGTGCGGAGGAGATGTGGGCGGGATTGGCGTATATTTTGAAGAATATCTAGGGGGGGTTGGAAGAGGGGGGTTGGAGGAGATGGATTGGGGTGGGTGGAGGGTTGTAAATATTTCAATGCATGTTTTGAGGGAAATGGATGTCCATGGTTGTGTTTGACATGCAAAGTAAACATGCAGTTCCCATGGATGTGGGGAAGGTGATGTCAATGTTTGTGTGCAATATGATGATTTTGATTCATTTGGAAGAGCCTAGCTAGGTACAGTAAGTAGTCTAGCCGTATAAACCTCCCCAAGGCCATCATACTCCTGGGCCGTACAAGCAATGATGCTAATTCATCTATCCAATAGATACCCAGAGCTTCCCTCCTTCCATGCATCGAAATCATTCACAAAAAGGAAAAATCATCCCGCTCTATCCATCAACTCACCAGTCCATCCTCACATGCAAAAATGACTCTTGGCGTGATTACCCTTCTTGTCTCCGGTCCCTTCACCCGGTCCTCCAGACCATTTGATGTCGCCTTGGCAATCTCGTTCGCTGGGTGGAGAAGGCGGTGTTAGTGATCAATCGGTCGGGGGTATCTGGGTGGCAATGAGGGTGATATGATGGGAGAAAAGTAATAGTACTTACGCAAACAAAACACATAGTCCACACCACATATTCCGACACGTGTAGTATTCCCCATCGAGATCATGGTGGTTGCGACAGCTGTAATTGCTGGTACGTAGTTCGGCGTTGAGTCCACGCATGGAGGTGCAGATACCGCAGAAGGTGTTGGCTTGGGTGGATATACCGGTAGTGGTGTCGAGGTTGCGTTTGGGACGTTGGATGGTGTGGATATTGGTTGGGGTGGTTTTAGGTGCAAGCGCAGGATCAGGGTCAGGGTTTGTAGGATCGAGGGTATCGAGAGCGCGTCTGTCATTGTTGGGTGGAGTTCGACTGCAGCTTGGTTTGCCAGCTTGTAGTTTACATTCAAAGTGGCGTCGGCAGCGACGCATCAGCTTTTGTCTGCCATTCTCACATTCCCAGCATTCTTCGAGCCAGGTCCATTGCGTTCCGGGGGAGCATGTGTTGCCTTCTGAGGAAATGTTTTTGTCGTCTGGGATCTTGATGGAAGTTGTAGCGGTGGTTGCAACGTCGACGGGATCCTTGTACACAGGTTCATCCTTTTCGTTGGAAGAATTGGCGAGATTGGATATATTGATTGCTTCGACGGTGTTGCGGATGTTGCGAGCACGCCAGCCATCGTTGGGGGAGCTTCGAATGCATCCGGGTTTGCCGTCAGAGAGGCTACAGGCGTAGTGTCGTCGACAGCGGCGGGTTCGCTGCTGTTTTGCATTTTCGCATTTGTAGCACTCGTGGCGATGTTTCCATTGCGTTCCTTCGAGGCATGGTTTGCTTTCTGTGGTAAGGTCGTTGTTGTTAATGGGCTCATTTTCTTCAGTGAGCTCGTTGTCGTCAACAGGCTCGTCGACGTCGTCGTAGATGGAGACATCATCTTCAATCAGTTCATTATTGTCCGCGAACTCATTGGAAGTCTTTGCAAAGTCGACAGCTCCTACTGCCTCGATGGCCTTTGGGGAAGCAGTCGGAGCCGAGTACGGAGCAGTGGTCACATCTGGACTACCTTCCCTGCAGTACGCCATAGGACGATGCTTCATCACCTCGCAGTGCTGACCGTCCGGACAGGTGAAGAGAAATTCCTCGTGGTCATAGTTGCAGTATACGGCAGTCGTGCTGTTGCTGCACCACTTCTCACCTGCACGGCAGGAGGAATCGGCAGTAACGAGAGCTAGAAGGCCCGCGAGAGCGAGCACAAAGGTGGAGGACTTCATAGCAGAGGATTAGACGTGAATTTGGTGCGTCTGAGTGTTATGAAATTTGTTGGTGGGGAGAGTTTAGGTGGAGTAGGTTAGAGATGGAGTGTTGGTAGAAAGGTGAGGGGGGAGTAGTTTAGGTAGTCTAGAAGCAGCGACGTAACAAACGAGCGTCTAAGAGGGCACGGGCAGCCAAACAACACCTTCATCTTAAAAGTTGGGGCTTCAATGATGGGAGGGGGTCTGAGCGGGGAAGTGAGGCCGTTTGTGGGCTTGTATTACCTGAGATGTGGGCGTGCCGCGGAAGACTCTGAGTCACTCATGTGAAGGACATCAGAGCACTGTTGTCCCCAAGAGCATGGAGGAAGAAGAAATGGCGTACGCTACTCACCAGGTGATTGCAATGGTAGGTATGGGTGTCGAGTCTGATGGGAACAGCGTGAAAGAAAGTCGAGGGTAATTAGTTTTGGCCCTCGAGTAAGGCTAAAGATGTGACACTGAACGGATTCATCTCTAAAGCAAGGATTATTTTAAGGATGATAGATGTTTCTATAAACAAGTAACCATGTAAGAGTATCCATTCTAAGCTTCCCATCAAATAGATATGTATATTATCCACCCTGTACTTATATACTGCCGCCAGAACAAAACTGAATCTTAATTGACCAGGAATAATCGTTCGCAAAAGACCTGAGTCATACCACCCAGTCAAACAATCGAGAATTGTACGCTTGAGAGCCTGCGCAGAATCAGTAAATAAAACTGAAAATTGAGTCTTCTATTGACTCACAACCTGACAGGGTCCGAGAAGGCATTATGGATCAGAATGGCCAAGCACAGTGAGGGCTAGGGTAGTTGAAGCACTTCTCCAAATATGTGCAGTCTTGAATCAGAGTCAAGCGGCCATTGACACACCTGAAGACACCACCGTCATAACCGTTGTCCGCAGCAGCAGTGCAGATGACAGCTCCATCGGTACACATGGCATTGATACCGACGTTGGCCTCGTCAGTATTGATAGGTGCGGCGAAGGTGGCCATGGCGAAACCCAAGAGGGTAAGGAAAAGAGAGAGAAGATGCATGCTGGAGGTACGATAGTGGATAGTAGAAGTCGAGTGTTCCGAGTAGTTTTGTGGGTCGGAAGCCGAGGAAGAGTGATGTTGTGGGAGAGCTGTAGAAATGACAGTATCGAGGAAAAAAAGTTATATATCCCGAGCGAATGAAAGCCCGATATGACTGAGAGGTGCAGATAGTTCGAACTACAGGTACAAATAATGAACGAGAGAGACGACCGATGTGACTCACAGTCAACGCCGAATATACTCGAATCTTTGCAACCTATTCGCCGGAATTGCCTCAAGCTCTTTCTACTGACTGTCCATTGGCTGCTCGCGGCGCTGGTCTGTTCATGATATGGAAGGTGAGTGGGATAACTGTGGAACAAACGGAGAACGCGCGAGGGAAATGACTGTTTGACAAACGGAAAGTGAGAAAGTGAGAAAGCGACTGGAGGAAATCGCTGGTCCAAATAACACAGAATGTAAAGACGGTTGGACAGCAATAGGAGAGTCAACTCGATTGCACCCGATTATACGAATAAGGTCCGATGTCACCCCGCACCGACAGTCAAGGCAGCTATGTAGTAACTGTATTGAAGCTAGAGTGCCTGAGCCGGAGGCATAACTAACTCATATCATACGATGCCAACTCATATCAGTGGGATGCTGGCCCTGCGGATCAATTGATCCATTTCAAGCTGCCTCACGAACCGCAGGCGCAGGGGAAAGCGAGGCCGAGGAGCAACGCAGAGCGGAAATGAAATGAGAGGCAGAATTGTATAACAAGTTGTTCGCATCGTCTCAGGAACAAATATCGAGCAAGCGTCAAGCAATTGCCATGAGTGCCATGGTGTCCGAATCTCCATGTATCGCGGGGTATTTTCTTTAGGTTTTGCCGTCCTGAGGGAGAACTGTCGAATACCTAGCGGTACCTAAGATAGCCCACGCGTTCGGCCAGGCGAGATGATGTCAGCTTATTTTAACGTGTTTGTCTTAATATGGCGTAGCCTCCAGCCCAATTCTGCAGCTCACGGCCATATGAGCCAGACCATGTTCATATCCAGCCCCTCGTCTCTGCACAGAAACGCGCAGCCAGCCCTAGGTATGTGTGAGACATCACACGTCAACTCTATACGCGCGATCATCCGCCGGGCCCTTGATGACAGTAGGTACCGGTACGTGACAGTGTACGATCGGGTAAAGTCAGGATCTCACACCTTGGCAGTCTACCGGTACCCCACAAGGACAAGGCACCTGGGCTCTCCGTATCACACGTTGGCTTGAATGACGAACATAACCATGATCCTGGTTAGAGACTAGAGTCATGTATATGTAACTATCTCGAACATCAAGCGCAACTTCCACTGTTGTTCCTGATAGCTAGAACTGCCGGATCGGCCAATTGGGATCTCGTACCACGGCCATGCCTATGGTCCGGCACCCATGAGAAGCACATTCGGGTGGTGTCCCTGCAAAAAAGTATCCTCCAATTCGGTTTGCGGTATTCAATAGCAAGACGAAGCTAGATATTTGTTGCGGAGGCCAATGCCCTTCATTTGCCCGCACACCGAGAGTGTTAACAGCACACGGTCAATCCCCACATGGCGGAACTGAACATGACACAGTTCCGGTAGCTATGCAAAAGAACAGCAGACGTCAAAATCTATCCAGGAGAAGAAGCGGGTTGACTCTGGGGCAAACAACTCCGTGCCTAGAACGGACTAGCCTCGTGGACAACTTATTAAGGCCCTTGGCTCCAAGAAAGACAAATTGCTCACATACTTGCTACCTATGGCTGCAGGTCCGTCGTGCCAGGTACTCGGCTTGCTTGTGTTCCCATCCTTCCCCGGCTCTTGGATGTTTTGGAACGGCTAGTTCCCGCTACGGCTGTTGACAAGGGTAAATGCGCCAATCAGAGTAAATCAATCCATCTTGGCCATGGGAGGTATCAATCTATCATGGGGAATCTTAGTGATGCTACAAGTCGACCCTTCGTATTGCGCAGAGTATAGTGTGGAGTTTCTCCGAAGCCCCGAAAATGGTACATATGTTGTAATTGGAAGGGCCACCAAACATATGATTCACCAACAGCTTCATCCCATCTGAATTCCCTCTGCCCAGGTCATCCGGCAAGATGCTCTACAACACTGCGTCACTCCTATTGCTCGCCTCTGGTGCGTCTGCTGCTGTGGTCAAGAGGCAAGTCCCAGCGGGTTTTGTCACGACCAAGGGAACTACATTTCAGCTTGATGGAAAAGATTTCTACTTCGCCGGAAGCAACGCATACTACTTCCCTTTCAACGATGTGCGTACTCTTTTACTATATGCCTAAGAGTCTAACTGACTTTCCAAGCTCCAATCAGATGTCGAAGCTGGACTCACTGCGGGCAAAAAGGCCGGTCTTAATGTATTCCGCACATGGGGATTCAACGACCGAAATCGAACAACCATTGCTGGTGGCCTTCCTCAGTATGGTGGTGAGGGTGCTGGCCCCAGCCCGAATGTTATGCAATGGTGGAACAACGGTGTCCAGGAGATTAACCTTGCACCGTTCGACAAGGTGGTGGCCGCTGCAGAGAAGACTGGGATGAAACTCATCGTAGCACTCACGAATAACTGGGCAGATTACGGTGGAATGGATGTCTATACGGCCAACCTCGGTTACAGGTATCACGATGATGTGAGCGACACCGTCATAAATGGTTCAGAAAATCCGAGTGCTAATAGCCATAGTTTTACCACGTCCCGGCGATTAAAGAAGCTTTCAAGAAGTACGTCGAGGCCATTGTGCAGCGTTATGCCAAGTCTCCGGCTATCATGGCATGGGAGTTGGCGAATGAACCCCGCTGTGGTGCAGATGGTACTCGTAACCTACCACGGAGCGACAATTGCACGCCCGAGATGATCACTGAGTGGGTTGACGAATTCAGCACTTACATCAAGTCGCTTGACAAGGACCATCTCGTCACTTGGGGCGGAGAAGGTGGCTTCAATCGTCCAAATGATGATGGTTTCTACAATGGTTTTGATGGCGGTGACTTCGACAAAGAACTTGCACTCAAGAACATTGACTTTGGAACCTTTCACACCTGTAAGTACACAACTCTAACACTCTAGTATACGTGCTAACTGGCAGAGATCCCGACTGGTGGTCGAGATCCGTAGAATGGGCGAACCAATGGATCATCGATCACGCTGCTGCTGGTCGCGCTGTTGGCAAAGCAGTTATTCACGAGGAATATGGGTGGCTCACTGATGCGAAGAGGCAAGAATTCCTTGGCAAGACCTCGAATATTACGAGATTGGAAGCGATTGGACTTTGGCAAGCAACGAGTTTGGAAGAGCGCATGAGCGATTGCTATTGGCAATTCGGTTATGGAGGCTATTCGTATGGTAGGAACCACGATGACGGATTCACCATCTTCTTGGAAGATGCGGAAGCCCAGCCGCTTGTCTATGAGCACGCGGCCAAGGTCAATGCCCTTAACAACTAGCGACTCTGATAGTTAGAGGGGCTATAGCTGATATAGAAAGCAAATTCCATTGCCACTAAAGCTGCTGGTATCCTGTTGAATCTTTCTTTCTTCAAGACATCTTTGTTGCTCTAAGACATTTCTCTTAGTAAACTTTAATCTAACACTTGTTTCACCAATCAAGCTGCTATGCCATCGCTAATGCTCTACTAAAAGACTAAATTAGCATACTTGCACTTCGACGTACCTACAAATACTGTGTTTATATCTCATGTCCTTCAAGAGCTTCACAATGTGCTTTGGTATATATCCTTGTTCCGGCACAATAGCTATAATATCGAGCAAGAAGCACAATGTCAGCCGTGCATGCACGGTGAGATATTGTGCTTATTCTCTTCTGATTCATAATCTCGTCAAATAAGTTTCACTGAATATGCATACACACATTTCACCCACATCTAACAGTTTCTAAACTTGATTATCTTATGCGATCCATACTCTTGGGCACTGAAACACTAACTAGGTTTGCTGCCTTGTCCACATAAAAATTGCGACCTCTGCAAATAAACACGCCTCGCTCAGCTCCAACCTCTCCCATACAAAGACTAAAGTCCACCCAATTCCCATCAAGGATGTGTGGCTTCACTCTGGTGCACTGTCTTGCTTGTGGCAGCAAGGAGCTCTCAATTGTCGCCAAAGACACGCGGCTCTGCAATATGGCAACGCTTCTCAACAATCTCGACCAGGGCATCGACTGTGCACCTGCTGCTTGCTCCACGACAAGCGAAGAAGAAACGATCATCTTTGCTACAAAACAACGTGTTGGGCCTTGCAATAACTGTCGCCCAGCTACCGTGCCTGATGCACGGGAAGAGTTGGACGAGGTCATGCAACGTCACGCACATCCACAGGAGATTGGCACCTACGGAACCAACGAAGTCAGCCAACTTCAAGACCTCGTAAAGTTCCTGGAAGCACGAATCGCAGACGGCAAAGAATTAGCGAATGCATGTGAGGAATTCCTCAACCGCACGCCAGAAGCGCTAGCACATATCCAGGATCCCATTTTTCGACAGACGCTCTCCCGTCCTGGTCCTGAAAAGTACCAAGCTTTCTATCTAAATGCTTTGGAACAGTGCGGAGACATGCTGCCTATTCTCGCAATGTACATTCGCAAGCGTGTGCCCAATAAACTCTTTGTTGACACGTGTGAATATACTGCGGACCAAGCAAAGGTTGCGTCCGTATTGATGGACCATTTTCATCTTATTTTTCAATGTATTGAAGGATTCATGCCATCTAACCCATCTGAGAACTTCAACGGTAGCGAAGCTCGATTGGCTCTTTCTATCGAACTGCTCTCTGGCATGCTCCTCAATACTGGCACGTCTTATCCACCTGGCCATTTGTTGCAGCCAAACTTCGTCTTGGCTTCAGGTACAGGACAGCGTTTTGCAGCCGTTGAAAAAGAGCGCCAGGCATTCATTTCCCTGCCCACGCCACGTCTGGTACGGCCCGCGGAGAAACAGCCTGGGCGGCTGAACCGCTCCAAACTGGCTGTCATGATCCACGCGGGAGTGCTGGATGAGGAACCTGCAAGCGACATTAAAATCGTTCACGTTCCTTTTCCTGAGGGTGGAAAGACCAATGTACAAGATACAGCCGGTAATCAGCTCATCTTCCAAGCCGATGGAACTTCGACGCTCATTTGGGCTGTAGACTCGTCTATGCCACCTGTAGAGAAGGAACAGTCTCCAAAGCGATCTTTGCCTACGTCTTCGCCTCTATCTTGTGCGGACAAACCTTCACCCCTTAAGCAAGGCGTTCTTTCAGGCACGACCATAACTACGGTGTCCTACCAGCCTGATAGTATACCTGCTGAAGAGCCTAAAATTCCAGAGAAGCTTAATGCTTCTTTGTCTTCCTTGGCTAAAAAGCGAAAGCGAAGTGCATCACCCAAACAATTTGGCATCACATATGGACTGGACTATTCTGATACTATTTCAGAACCTAGCGATGAAGATCTAGAACCACCTCCCCACCCGGCTCGCACTTTAACAAGTGTCGTGGAAGATAAGCAGACGGAACTTGCTACACTTCCAGTATCTTCATCATCACCACAACACACCGAGGTTGGTACACAAAAGAATTCTTCGGTTGAGAAAGTAGTGCCTAGTCCTCGACGACCAGGCACAGCGTCACCTACAGCTCCTATAATATCCCAGTTGTCGCCACAATCAACTGTACTAATCCCATCCTCTCCACCAGGATCCCCGTCTCCAACAGACGTAATTGACAAAACAGCTGTGGTACCAGAGACCCCTCTACCCGTACCACCTTCACCGACTCCGTCTGCTGCGCCATCATCACCACTTCCAGCACCAGCGCCATCAATCTCCGCCCATAATGCTCCTCCACCCCTTTCGCGACGCTCAACGCGCATCCGGAAGCCTCCTGTTCGTTACGGGCAGGATGAATTTGCAGGTTTGCTTCCCGCGCGAAAGCGGACGAAGAGGTAGGTGATAAATCTCAGACGTTTTGGACTTGTGAAACTTTGGGGTTCTTTCATTGGGAAGTTGGAGTTGCATGTGTTGTTGGGGATATGGGGGGACTAGATCTAGAGGTATGAGTCAAATATTCAAGAAGAGGTTTCACATAATTGTAGTACTTGTTGTGAGGTTTAGTGACGTGTTTTGCAGTCTTTGCTGTGCTTCTCACAGTCTGAGATTGAATGTTGATAACGATATATTACGATCGATATAATCATCAGTCATACCTTAAAAAAAGTTGTCAGTGACTTCTACCATATACTCGCACGTTCACACTATAACCAACCTTGCGTACTCATTGTATCCTCAATATACATATAAACACGCAACCACGTCATTCACCCATCTAGCCCACCAAAACACAACATGCCCACCCACAACATTCTACGACTTCCTCCAGCCTCCCGCCAGTATTCCCCAACCTGCCTTCACCACCACAACCACCACCAACGTCTCCCCGCCCCACCAATCCAAACCCCAAACGCACCACTCCTCCCCCTAACTTTCCTCCCCGAGGAAACCCCCCTCGCCTGTCCAGACTGCGATGCCACAATCCTGCACAGCCTGCATCCAGGCGACACGATCCCGCTGTGTCGACGCTGCCTGGGTGAATTCCAAAAGGGAGGAGACGGGCGTGCAGAGGTGGGTTTTTGTGCATTTCCTGCTTTAATGGTGGGGAGGGGGAGGGAGCGAGGGAGGGGATGGGTACCGGGAACGCGAAAGCCTGGGTTGGTGGGTTGGTGGATCGGATTTGTGAGGGGTGGGGGGCTGTGATTTAGCGCATCTGGGGTGATATGGGGTGTTGGGAAGGTGGTGAATGTATTGTGGATGGAGAAGAGGGCTGGATGTATTAAAGGGGTTTGTTTTTCGCGGATGGGAGCAGTGTATCATGTTGCGACTCATGAGGTCCTGGGCTGATTTTGGATAGGTGGAGATCGGTAACTTGTAAGCACTTCTGGTGATTTAACAGTATGCTGTTATGTAATTCTTGCCCGTGGCCGTGATTGCTAGATTTGCAATTAGTGCTGAACCAACCTATACAAAGAAGGAGAGGAGCTGCGTGCTGTAACTTGCTTACTTCTCTAGACTCCAGGTGCAGCAAGTTCTTCCTTTACGAGAACATCACTCAAAGAAAATTACACTGGGTTCTAAGCCTCATGATTAGAATTAGTTTTGTCATCAAAAAACATAAAGTGATAGTCTATACATAATCTACACGAATCGAATGTCTTACAAAGCATCATGAGCTTCCCAGAACCCCTCCATTTTCCACTTGATTCGCATCAAGAGGTCCCTCAGCTGTGGGTCATGATCGAGGCCCCAGTACTTGGTGTGCAAGCTTGCAAAATCACCATCGGTGTAATCCTTGTAAGTCGCCCAGTTGATGTTCCACTTCCAGTGGACTTGCATCCATGGCATGTTTCCATTTCGCCTATGGGCATATTGCCAGACACCTTGTTCGTTGTAGCGTCCGTTGTAGCGGCCTTCGGTTTCCGGGGTCGTCAGCGAGAGGTAGTAGTTGAAGAGTTCGAGGGAGGGCTCTAAGAGGATGAATCCACCGTTGACGTTGTTGCCCTTGCGTGGGGGGATGCTGTGGTCGTAGCCTCCTGAACCGGCGTTGGAGGCGAAGCCGTATGTGGCTGGTTGAGGGGCTTCGTCGCTTTTTGTTGCGTCTGCTGCGGGGAGATTCTTGTTTTGTTGGACTTGTGCAGCCTCGTCTTCGAAGATGCCTGGATGAGTGTTAGTTGTGGTCGAGGGGAATTTGGAACACTGTTTCCGGATAGTCAGTACTAGGGTAGCTTACCATCCATAGGTCTTGTCAAGAAGTGGTCAGAGTCGAGATAAAGTATCTTTTTATACTCGATTTGCTCAAATAATCTCAGTTTGGTGATTTGATCTTGCCATGCTTTCCTCGTCACATGCTGAAGAGGCTTTAGCTTTTCGATCCTCTTGACGATTGCACCTTCTCGTTGCAGCCTCTCGCGTTTTGACGGAGACACATCATCTGTGACTAGCACAACGAATGGATAGTTGTTTGGTGACCGGGTTGCAGGGTCGTGACGTAGTTGGTAGAGCAGCATTCGTGTCTGAGTGTAGTAGTGGTCTTCATCATCACTGGCAGTGTCGTTCAGGTCATACGGCGCAGCAAGAAAACCCATGTATGCGTGCTCATTGCCCGTGCTAGCTTGGCGTAGCGAATATGAGGGAACTTGTGGACCCCAATGGTCTAGCATGAGATATAGGAAGACGATGATAAAAACACAAGGAACAATGCGCATAAGCAAAGACACACTGGGATTGAACATCATCTTGACGTTGGGGTCTCGTTATACGCACCGTAGAGACTGTAGGGACCGTAGGGAATGAGGGTTATAGACCTTCTGTCTGGAAGCAGACGCAGACATGAACTAGACTTCAGACTTCACTACTTTTCTTTGCCCAACCGCATCAATGGGATCAGCCGACGCACATGAATCCCGGTTGTCGATCTAGGTAGGTAGCTCTCAAGCATGCGGTCCATGGCGAAAAAGCCCAATCATCCATGAAGGAAGATAGGGGCGCGGACTTGGTTCAATGTGAGGAGGCATTGTGAGCCTGGGTGTGGCGGCCTGAGCTTGCGGCGTCGCCTCTTCGTTAGCGGATCAGCTAGCGCCGAGTACGAATGGGGAGACCTCACTTTTCAACATGGGCTCTTTTTCTGTATCGCTCCGCTTTCGGGGTTAGCGATAAATTCGGCCTACCGGCTGTGCCGTGTTGACGTGGCGTAGTTTGCGCCATGTTGTTGATATCACAGCATTGGGTAGATACAGTAGACATGAGAAGTAAGCGAGACAGTTTACACTACAAGTAATATGAGAACCAGGTTTGGGCATACGGACCCCTGAAAAAGGAACAAGAAAAAGCATACAGAATTTGCTTTTCAATGACGATACGAGCTAGCAATTGCAATGGATAGAATAGGTAATTAGTTACGCTGAAGTTGGCATCAAATGCCGTCTGGATAAGCGAAAGATGGTCGAGCTGAGCTATTCGGACCGACTACCTACCTCGCCTGGTCTCGATATGTCTTAGTGAATATATTTGCTTATCTCGATCTGTGCAAGTACAGCGGATTGGATGAGAGCCGGACTAGCAAAAGGCTCAAAGTAGACTGATGGATGAATCATTACCAATTGAGGCGAGGTCAATACCAAGCTTTTCGGCTGGCACCTGGTACCAGGATTGCGGAGCCAGGGTGATGAGGCCAGAGCGTCGGTGATTTTGCAAAGTTTGGTTTTATCTTTCTCTGCCAGCAAAACAACACTTCAATGCCCTTGGCGTGTTCATGACAATCCATCAATTCGACCTGGTTCGATTAAGTTTTTCTCTCATCACAGCCTGCATCTAGACAGTCGGTCCCAATGAGTGAAGTGTGTAGTCTGAAATCTCTACCGGTACTGTACAATACACATGAGATTGGGTTCAAACCAACGCTAGCTGAGTACAGTCGACCCCCCTTGAACGGTTCATTCGCGCCATGCAGATCAGAATGGAAGCCTTGCGTAAGCTGTTACAATCGCGAAAATCTTAATCTGTAAGTTCGACGTGCCGCGCCGCGTCTCAAGGTTTCCGAGCCGAGTGTTTCTTGTTCCCTCATTGGATTCGACCTCTCGACGTACGGCTCTCTCAACCCTCATTGTAGCTAATCCCATTGAGAATTCCAATCTCCCTCTATTTGACGGCAAGGTACCGTCAGCATGAGTGTCTTATTTGGAAATGTCATTTGGGAAAAGGGGCTGCTAGTCTGTACCTACACATCCAGAAGATTAGGGTACTATCGTGGAGAAGAACAAGAGCTTTCAGGAGCTAGAAATCGTGAAGCTGAAGTTGAAGCTGTCATGGCCTGCATACCCCCTGCGTCAATGGTTGCAGAGCCGCAGATGGCGTTATGCATGGGCATCCCTGGTCGATGTGCTAAGGCCTCCACGGGAAACGCTCTGACCACTACCGTACGACAAAGGGCCAGATCGACTCCCTAGCGATCATCTCTACCACAAGGCTGGCTGAGCCGCGTCTTAGCGTGACGCCTTACAGGACTCGACCTCGTAGGTAAACAACATCGGGGGATGGCGGACTTGGCGGTAGACTGTCGCGTGCCTCTGTTCCCAACACGTTTGTCCATCACTTGAGGCTACCTTGGTACTGTTTACCGTAGTTATGGCGGCCCTGCACGAATCCTGGCCTGGTGAGCCAAAGCGTATCACGCCAACCTCCAGGCGGCATCAACGCCACTACCGCTGATGAAGAGCTGAGAAGGACTCTCGATGTCTAGAGCCATGGGAAAGACGGGCGCAGAAAAAAATCCTGCGTCTACCGCCAAGAGTCCAGGGGTACATACATACTGTCATGCAAATGTCCACACTCCAAGCACCCTTGACCTACTGCGGGAGACATTTCCAAGGGCACGCGATCAAATACCACATCTATTTGGCAACGATTCGAACATCTCTAAAGTCGTATCACGGAGTCTTTTCGATTTCTCCTGACGACGGTCGCCTTATGATCTGCCAACTAGAAACCTCGCTCGCTTTGTCCACTTCATCATGATTGGCCGAAAGCAGCAATTGTATCGGCCTCGTCGCTCCTTTCGCAAGTATTACTGGGCTCTGCTTCTTGTCTCTGTGTTCTTGCTATGGCACTCCAACATACTTGGCCGGCCCAAACATGCCCACCCAGAGGCGGCATCGAAACCACTCGCCGCAAGACTCTCGCCCGAAACATTCGATGACATCTTAAGAAAAGAGTCTCCCACAAACATAAAACTCCCTCACACGCTACCAAAGTCACAACCAATACTGAGAGTTGGAACTCCAAAACCTCTCGCCTCGCTGAACCACGACGTTGGCGCACACAGCGCTGAGTCCCCAGATACCCCGGCCGCCGCAGTTGCAGTTGCAGGCGACTCTACTGGTGCGCTCAAGGTCCCCGCCGATAACGCGGCATACGAAGATACCGAAGATGTCGATCAAATCGGAAAAGATACCGGTGACGAAATTGTTCAACACTCTGCGCACTTGACTCATCCAGACGATGATGACAGCACTGGGACAGAAATTGAACAGCCTGTATTCAACAGTGACAGTCAGGTCAGGATACAAAGTGAGAAGGCAAAGGTGGATGATCTTCTCAATGCGGATCATCCCTCAAAGGAACAATTTGCTTCTGTTCAAGAAGAGAAAGATGACGTCGAAGAGAAGGACCAGCCGCAATCCAGAGGAGAGCCGCGCCCCATCATGCCTTTGGAAGAGCAGCCGACATGGACCGAAAACTACGAATTTCCCACTGCAGATGAATGTCAGGCGGTCAAAGATAAGGCTGCGGACCTTCCTGATCTCTTCTACGTACCCTTTGAAGTCTCCGTCAAGGATGTCGTACTGGAAGGGTGGGAAGATGACTGGATTTCAAAGGCACGTTACACAGGGCCTCGGCTAAAAGAACCCAAAATAGACTTTGTGTATACGTGTAAGTGTTAATTACCAGGTTTAAGAAGGGATCATTGACTAACGATACTTTTAGGGGTAAACGGTTCGCAATCCGAGTTGAAAGACACTATGCGACCCTACGAGATAAACTCTACACTGAATGACCCAGAGGGTCTCTGGATTGCGTCGCATGGCTCCAACAGATATCGTGAATGGGATGAACTGCGTTATTCTATGCGTAGCGTCGAAAAATATGCGGGGCACTTCACAAATCGTATCCAAATTCTTGTCAATGCTTTCAAGAACGAAAAAACGGACGAGAAATCGCGAACCACATTCGGCAAGCAACGACCTCACTGGTTGAGGACAGATTTGAAAAAAGTCGAGGTCTTGTCCCAGGAGGAGTTCTTTGGACCAGATGAACGAAAGTGTCTGCCTAGTTTCGACTCTCTCACCATCGAGAATCAACTATACAACACAAAATCTGAAACAGACAGGGTAAGCTACCTCTATTCCGCCCAAGTATTCAGAATAGCAAGCTAACTTTCTCTAGATGTTTGCGCTCTCTGATGACATGATCTTGGGCAAGCCACATTCGGCATCCGACTTGTACTCGCCGCTATTTGGTCCTACACTTGGTTTCAAGACCAATGCATATAATACTTTGCAGCCTCCGACGGAGAAGGATGCTGAACGCTTCGGCGAAAAACCCTTCCTAATCTATACGTCATGGCTGCTAAATCGCCGGTTCGGCGCTCGTAAGCGCAAAGGACAGGTTCACTTTGGCCACTCGCTCTCCCGAAGCATTACCAAAGAAGCAATCACAAGCTTTCCTGGCCCAGCTATGAGAAGTGCCTATCAGCGGTTTCGGGGCGAAACCGGCTTTCAGCTCTACTCATGGTATGTAGTTTTTCACTATACCATGGAACGGCACAGGGAAGCACTCCTCTGGAGTTACATCATGCTACGCAGCGACGTGGACGATGACGGCTACTTGGACTGGAGCGAACGCCAAAGAATCGTACGCGATCTAGCTGAGGGTATGGGCAATGACAGTCCCGAAACCTTCCGGCGGCGGATATTTTATCAAGTCGGAAGTTTGCTCGAGCGAGCTGGGCTTAAACCCCCAGTCGTCAACACTGACATACTGTGGACGTCGCTAGATGGTCCTATCCACACTCAGGATTTAGATTGCGATGCGTTCGACCTGGAGAACTGCTTAGGACCAGGATTTTCCATGTCTTTTAGCGACGAAGAAGCTCGCAGCCCAGTCTTCTCAGCCGCCACTATCTTCAATCGGGTGGCACGCGAGTCCCCGCGCTGCGGAGACTGTCTGATCAAGCTTGTTCTCAACAGGCGGCGAGCTGGGCTGGGGCCACTTCTGCCCCACCCGGTGAAAAAGGCAAAGCAGCGGGAGACTGTGATCAAAGCACTGATGAAATTTCAGTACACCGTTGTCAACCCAGACGCCAATTTTTACATGGTGACTGATGCCGAGCAAGCCGAACATGTATTGCTGAAACCTTACATCAGGCATCATAAGAAGACTGGTCAGATTTGTTTGAATGATGATGTTGTCACGACTGATCAGGCGGAATTGGAGCATCTTAGGAAAGTAATGAGCGCGTTGTTTGAGGGCTTACTGCCCGACGTATCCAGCTACGAAAAGTAGCCATTCATTTAGACACCTGATACATCTTGATAGACGAAAATATGTTCTTGTTTCCTTTCAGAAATCGCGTCTGGATGCTACCCAGTGATCAACCTCTGTTGGGCAATCTCGGCCCCAGAATGTCTGCGCTTGTGACAAGCAGTGCATGCAGCAACTTTTTTGCAAGATCCAATTCACTTCGGTCTCGCCGATCACAGTGGATTCTCATCAGGCCATGCAAGAGCTCAGCAGCGCCTTGAGATTGGTAGAGGACGCTCATGCCGCAATCAATACACTAAATGACGCCCATAGAGGCCCCCCAGCTGCTGAAGAGCGAGCTAATCAGTGTATTGTGGCAGATTGCCAGCAAACGGCAAGGGCTTGACAGTAAATCTCCACCGTAGAGCGGATCCGACTTGGCAAACTGAAGTAGGCGTAGATCCATGTCCTGTTATCTCCAATTAGGCTTTCTATACCGTCGACTATGGCTGGAAGGGGAAATATGGCATCAGGGGTACCCAGTCGCTCGTCATTGGCCGGGGCCAACCGCAACCTTTGCTAGCGGCATCAACACGCGCTTCCAGGCGTTCCCAATAACTGGACTAGATACACTGTGGCTCCTGAGTTATGCCTCGAACCGGTAATCAAGCACGAGACGAGATCGTCCATTCTCTAGTCATGGCCGTCTTCAGCCTTGTTGACTCGGTTAGTGACCAAGGCCGCCCGCTTGCCAGCATCGATGTCTCGATCAGGTACGTATCGTCTACGCATTCTCGCTACGGTAGATTGACCAAGAGAAAGCCACCGGGACGACAACAAAGGTGGCTTGCTCAAATGAGATGGTCGGCACTTCTTGTGCTAGAAATCTTTCCAGGATGGTTCAGCTCCACCGCTTTGCAAGTACTTGAGAAGACTCCTCGCTCATTCGGATAAGATTTCAGCTCGCTCTCACCCACTGTCACTCGTTCATACAGCAACACTTAATAGTATTACTTAATATACCTAGCGAAAATGAAGTCCTTCACACCCCTCATCTTCGCCGCTACTGTCGCTGCCGAGTATGGTTATGGCCCTGCTCCAACCTCATCATCGACCAAGCTGGGGTACACCACCGTTTACCCGGGACACGGCAAGGAACCTGTCACTGTCACCGCTCAGTACCAGGCCGTACCAACCTACGTCAAGGGTAAATGGGAGGAGTACGAGGCCATGTCCTCGGTCATCACTGCCTACGGAAAGAAGATCACAGTCACCAAGGGCGACCAAGACCTGACCATCTATTCTACCAAGAAGACCCTCACCCACACTGTAACCAGCACTGTCTATGGAGGCAACGCCCAGCCAACTGGATACGGCAAGCCATACGGCTACAGCAACTCCACCCACACCACCAAGGTATGGAACGAGCTGTACGAGGAGATCCATGAGTGCTCATTCGACCACGTCGGTCCCCACGCCATTCCCGGATACCCAGGAAACCCCAAGTGCGAGGACGACAAGGACGAGCAAGTGATGACTATCAAGAAGTACAAGGGCGGAAAGTGGCACAAGTATGTGCAAACATTCTACTATGGTCCTCCCAAGACCTCAGTCACCACCTACGCCCAGCCAGGAATCTACACCATTCCTGCTGCCGACATCACCTATGCACACCCCACTGCCGTACCAGCACAGGGTACCTACCACGCCGAGGCCAACAAGCCTTGCACATACGGCGGTGTCACCACCAAGGTCAACAAGCCCACCACCATCACTGCTGCTTACCCCGCCTATGAGACCCATGGCGTCGTGACCAAGACCGTCATCCATAGCAAGATCGTCACCTGTGACAAGCCCGGTGTCTACACCATTGTCAAGCCCACCGTGACCGTCTACCCTCACGACACCACCATCACCTACCCAACTGTCACAAAATACCCTGCTGGTACCTGGCACCACCCTGCTGAGACGGTCACCATCACCAAGACCAACCAGCCCTACACTTGCACTTATGAGCCCGAGAAGCCCAAGCCTACCTTTGGCTACCCAACCTACCCAACCTACCCTGCCCACCCTGCCGTCACCTCTTCAAGCACTCAGCCCCCCAAGCCTGATCCTTCATCTGACTACTACGAGCCAACCGAGGAGTACGGCCATGCTGAGCCCGGCTACATCAAGCGTGGCGGTGTCCTCTCACGACGAGGCGCTGAGCCTGCGCTCCCCAAGAACGCGGCTGCCAAGCGTGTCATTCTCGTGTGAACAGCACTCGTTTAACCAGCACTCATTTTCACGTCTGGTGTCTTTGCGCAGCTTGGTTGGGTGTGTAGCCGAAGGAGGGTATTCCGGCTATTCCCCACTGCGGCGACTTTCCTTTTTTTTTCTGGCGCGTTACGATGATTCAGTTCTGGATGCACCCTTGAGTGTCATGACGTAAATCCCTTATAATCTCTATAGATTTAAGTTTTAGCAAATCAAGATCGTCGTCGTATAATCACTTTTCCACATGTTGACTTTGCCATGTTGAAGGAATTTTTGCTTCTCTAATCTAGGTCGATCCCGGTCCACAACCGTTGCTTTTTCTCGCGATGTTTTTCGATCGCCAGGAGTAGAGTAGAGCAGATATTGCGGATGACTTGAACTCCGGCAGATCAGTGCGGCTAACATGACTGATTGGATCTGGTTGAATCTGTTTGTGCAAGATTGTGAATTTCCAATGCATGTGCGAATGTACTATTCACTCTAATCCTAAGTTTGGAGTCCAAAGACGCCACAACTCCAATTGACAAAGAAGCATAGATTTGACCTGTCTGAAAACATCAATCCGACAACTAGCCAGCACCCACCTCCTCTTCCCATCTGTCCCAATGCATCAGTGAAGCAAGCCACATAGAGCGCCGAAGTACAGTGTCGTGTGCCTAACCCCAAGGTCTGGACCTGCATGTGGCTTGCCAGCTCAGCTCCACAGAAAAGGATTGACAGGGGGAAGCGTGCGGTCAATCTAGACACAGTAGAGCTGAGCGTCTACTAGGTTCAACGTGTTAGGCAAGCAGCAAACAAGCGTTGCGGAAGCGAACCTTCTTCGCGCACGGGCTAACCTCAAACGCATGTGTCAATCTCAGTGATTAGCCCACCAAAGGAGAATAAATTGGGATGGAGAGTTTGGTAGAGAGCGCACTGGTGGACCGAGGATCACGTCATGGGGATGGGGGGTGGACTGGGGGCGTTGAGCTGGGGAAAAAGAAAGATATAGTGCGTATGGATCCGACAGTGCCGGTATGCTAGCTGATCAGATGTGTTGTAGGAAATATGTGCGGTGTGTCAGTAGCTAGAACGCCATAGGCTTATTGCAGTTCAACAGAAAATTACCGGAGTGGTGGTGAGTCTTCTCTCTGCTGGAAAGGTGTAGGTGTGGTAAGTGCCCGAGAAAGAAAAAAAAGTGATTGCAAGACTGCGAATCCAATCATACTCGAGCACGTGAGTAGATACCAATTGTGTAGAAGTAATTCTCCACTTGATGCGAAAATTGAGCGGACTATCCATATGGAGATGGTGCAGCCGACAAGGGCATAGTAATCCAGATACGCCATGCAGCGCGTTTAGCTCGAATACCAACTTCGGCCTTCGGCTTCACGGCAACATGTATGTGATGAAGATTGATGTACTCTCTCTTTGCATGCAAGATTGTGGATTGAAACTGTTGTCTAACTTGAGCTGTAAAGTTCCAGGCATTGCCACACATAACGAAATGTCATATCGTATGTTCATGGCTGACAAGATACTTACTGGAGCCATCAATTTACCACGGCACAATGCTTGCTATGTCTTCATCGACGAGTATCGATTTACTAACATGACGCTAGAGATAGGGAGCCAATACTCCCCCGAACGTATTTTAACTTCCATACTACTTTCACAATATTCCTCGAATGGGCTTTGTTTTGCCGATCTTTGGTAGACGTTGGTGTACGGGTCAACGATATCATATAGCGCCGGCAAATTCACGGTACAGACATCAAGCCCCGTTTTCACCTACTGAGGCGAGGCAGAGTGGCAATAGTATCTAGGTACTCTGGTAGTTGAAGAGATCTGGAGACTTCCCTGAAAGGTACTCCTGTGTGACTTGCGTTGCTGAGCAGCGCTGTAGAATGAGATGGATAGCGGTGCACAACGGCGTCAGTGTCTTTTTCAATTGACTTCTTCATCAATTCAGCACCCCCCCATTCCTGTCTTTTTCACATTCGAAATTTTAACGCCTCCGATGTGGCGACTCAGACGTGGCGATATTGTAGTGTATGCACTACCGGATATATCGGCTTCCCCAGAAAGCAATCAGCCAGCACCCGACATTTTACTGTGGCGGTCGTAGTAGCAATTCAATAGATCTATGTAGTGGCAGACCCACGCAACCAGAGACCAGAAGAACAGGACCATGTCCAACGAATCACCAAGCCCAACAACAGTATTTCCCATAGCGATTGGACAATTCCATTCTCCGCACATTGTAAAGCAGCAATGACTGATCAGCACTGCCAATACACGGGTAGCGAGAGATGTGATATCCGAAAATAGGGCAATTGTTTGGTACACTTCGGTTGTCTTGTTAATTGCGACGGATTTGTCTAGCGCTGGGCGCACCGTTGGCTATGGGGTTTTCACGTCATGACGCGCAGAATCTTGCCTGAAGGGGTAGTATGGTACGCGCTAGAGTGGCGCAGAAATGCTACCCCAACGACGCGATTGATATTGATTTGTTTTTGCCACTGTGGTGATTATTCTTTTGGTTGGGCTTTTTGCTGAAAGGTGGGGAGGGGAGTGGAGGTGTTGTTGCTTTCTACCTTTCTAGCACGGCGGAGGAGGTGGGATGGGATTGTGGCTAGAACTCGTTGTGTGAGTGATGATGTGGCTAACTAATGGGAGCGCTACTTAAGTAACATTACTATATTATACCACCTCCTACTACCGGTAGACTCTAATACTCCTCATCCGTTGCACCGTCTCTCCAAAAGCACCGATCCAACGCCGTGCAACCACGACCAACGCTCCAGTCACTAGAAAACAACGCCCATTGATCTAACAAAGCACATAGTCTTCTTCACATCTTGCATACAAAGGTCAGGCTGCCATCAACCTTGCATATCACGACCTGGCTTCTCATTTGTAAAGACAGGTTAGTAATGCTCTATTACAGCAGAGTCTTGGGCTCCATTTGTATGTGCTATTATTAAAGATACAAGACAAGACAATCTCGCAAGCAGCTGACATGGTTAGTCGTGATTACTTGTAGTAGGAGCGCGTGCGGACTTGTACTACAATACCTAGAAGTTTACCCATCCCCGCCGACTAACTACACGCACAATTTACTTCATCATGCGTAGACACACCACTTCAGCATCCTCACTCAACCCCACATTGACCCACTATCTCTAACCTCTAATAAACATCCTAGTAACCCTCCACACATAGAACGCCCCTCATCTCAACACGAACACCATGCCTAATCATCAAATACCATAAAATCGCAGAACCCGTCACTCTTATGGACTAATATCCCATGTATTAGCACTGCGTTACACCGTGCCTTGCAACAACGTTAAACACCACACCTCCCTACCTATACAAAACAAGTATGCTACATACGCCTCCAAAACGGCTAAAACTGCAAATTTCAAGCCCGATGGGTTAAGACGCTCATTAAGACCCGTCATTGCACGATCTTCCACTACTGACTGTATGGCGACGAGAGTCGAATGGCGGGTACAAGCTAGTGTGGTCTGGATAAAGTTATTTCTCTGCTTTCTCCGCATAGGACGGAATCTGTATAGCACTTTTTTTCTTATTTATAAACTATCAAGCTCTGCCACGTACCCGCCTAACCATGCCCCGTTACCGCTTTCACACCAACTTGGGCCTCTTTCCCCCTTGTACGTCTCCCCCGTGTGTGTGTGTGTGTGCTCTGTGGGAAGGGCTATAAGGAAGAGAGAGATATGTGTACCTATATAGCGCAAAAATATATACATAAACATGTCCAACATACACCACAAGGTGTCGCAAATCCCAACAACACCAACACCAAATACACCAACAGTAACATGATGAATAAGAAAGATAGTACTGACGTAAAAACATCCTCCCACCAGAACATCAACGTTGAGTTGAATGTAGACAGGAGACCAGGGTTGGAAATTCTGTCTTGTATGGATGATGGCAGTCTTTCTTTTCTCCTTCTATCCTCTTTCCTCTCCTCTCCTCTCCTCTCCTCTCCTCTCCTCTCCTCTCATCTCCTCTCCTATAGTCGTCACAATCAGCAGTCTTAAGCT